ATCACATCATGCATCTGTCTTTGGGAGTCATGCCAGTGGCTGTGAGACTCTTGCAATGCTTCATGGGATTTGTAGTTCCACCACAGTTAGAGGGCTGGAGTTTGCTCACCCCTGCCTTAGTGTGTTGAAGTGCCAACCAAAACGAATGGCACAGCAGCGCACTAATTCATTGCAGTAAGTGGGAATGGGCCTTTAGATAACTGAAAACGAACCTTTCAAAGTGAAAATTCACATTATAATGAACATGTTCTAATCAGGGTCTATGTGTACTCAAAGTCACGTGTATCAAAAGGTAGGTATGAAAGTCGGCCTAAATATGGGCACTTCACCTCATCAGAAGTGTACCAGTTCAGACAATGAAAGGTATTGCATGAGTGGTGACCTGCTGAGAGTAACATTAGAGCTATATGTTACTCACTAACCACAGACGTCTAGGAATAAAATCGAGATAAATATACTGTACGTGAGAACATGTGACTCGCCACCTCCTCTTACCTTTCCCCTACTGTCCTCCGCTTGTTGGATACAATGTTAGAACAAGCTCAGGGTTGTAGCTTTCGGGAGACAAAACAATTGCTTGTGCAAGTATTTGTGTGTAGGGTGACATCCACTGTACTCTGAAATACCCAGAATGCTTTTGACAAAGGCATTTTACAGCATTTGCAAATAAATAGATACATGCACACACATTATTAAAATAAAAATGTGCATGTAGTCTTTTGTTTTGCATTGGAGGTTTTGAAACCATGATCAGTGGATTGCGGGTGGAATGCGTTGCAGACTTCCTCCCAGCCTATGTCTGTACCAAGTTAAGGATTTTCAGCTAAGGGACAGGAGGCCGTATAAATAGATGTCATGTGTGGTGACTAGGAGTTCCTCTCTCGTGCTGGCAGGCAGGACATGTAGTCTCTCTATTCACAGATCCTATTTAAGGGCCCGTTCACACCAGACGCAGTGCGTTCCAGCCGGATTCTAGTCAGAACGTACTGCGTCCGGCTCACTTTTTTGTGGGGCAGGAGGGGACGTGGCGGGCCATTGAAGTGACTGGCACCGTAGCCACGCCCTACGGCCGCAATGTGATCGGCCGCACGGGATGGCAAGGCACATTATGCCGGCGGTCCGGTCTGGTGCGATGAAAATAGTGCTTGCAGCATTTTGATCGCACCGGACCACATCGCAGGCATAATGTGCCTAAGGATCTGTAAAAAGATGATGTGGCTGTGCAGGCAGAGCAAAGCACAGCGCCGCCACATTTAATTTATGAAAGGAGGCTGCGGGGAGCACAACCCCACGATTAAGGTAAGCGGAGGGGTTGGGAGATGTCTCTATGTTTCATGGTGTAACCTCAATATGGGTCTAACATGAAACATGGTCTACAAAGTAAACGTAGGCATTTAATTATGGATGTGTGACATATAATACAATCTCTGAATGGTATTCTGCCACAAATATACTTGATCCCCAGCAATCCTCCAATCCCGCAGATGTAAAATTGCTCATCTCTCGTTAAGTGCACAGGGCTGTAAGGTCAAAGGGTAAATTGAGACAAACCTTATCTCATGTTTGTTTTTCATTTGGATAGATAGTGGTGGCTTGAAGGAGAACTATGGGGTTAAGGCTTTTTCCCATAGTTCTCCTTAGGGTAACGGGAGACACAAACTAGCGTCACCCTAAGCTACTGCTCGCGGTATACTGAGACGCCGCGGCTGAAGCGGATCCCGACAATTATGTCTGGATCCGCCCAGCTGCGTGAAGAACATCTGGCTCTGCCCATATAGAGGCAGAGCCAGCTGTACCTGCCCCCTCCCCCGTTCGTTCCGCCAGTCAGCGCTGGCGGATTGGAGCGGGGAGGTGGGAATCCAGCACCCCCTCCCCTGTCACGGCAGAGAGCTGTGACAGGATGTTCGCTCACTTCCCGATCTACTGAGCCGACCTGTGACAGTCTCATTGTCACAGGTCGGCTAGAACTATGAGGTGAGTGAAAAGCACTCACCTCATAGTTCTCCTTTTAAGTTTTGAAAGCCTTATTGATTTGGTTTTTAAAGCTGGCCGTATGCTGGTCACACATCATCCAAGTCCTGCTGTTGGGACCCCCATTTTTCAGTCAACTCTTGTCCACGGAGCTGGTCCAAAAAGACTCGGCTGAACAGTGACTACAGCCAGCCATCTTCAGTCAAGTTCAGGTATAATGACGGTGGCACATCTGTTGCTGTCAGAATACAATAAACCGCAGGGGGAATTCCCCCCATTCATGCTAAGAGTGGGGCTGGGCGAGAAAAAACAATTAACATTGTATGGCCAGTTTAACCCTTCCCCACTTTACTCAGAACTAGAAAAAAGTTTTTGCTTGACGTTCCACTTGTTTTAAAGTGTGAATTTTGTGTAATGGTGATTTTAGGTAACGTTCACAAATATGTGAATCCACTCCAAATCCAAAGGCAGGCAGCCATTGCCAACTGAAATGGTAGATAGTAATAGTTTAATGAGATTCGGACATGTACTGGACGTTTCCATGTATTTGTCAGGTTTATGACCTTTTTTTAATTTTGGATTAACATGCATCTTGAGTATGTGAATTATTTGTTAACTATTAACAAACTCTTCAGTGGCGTCTCATTGGAATAAATAAATAGCAGATGACAGTCACCTGGCCATACAGAGGTTAATGTTTAGTTCAGTCTGTGCTAGCCTTGAAATTTGCTTTGCATTTTGCAGCTCAAGTTTGCCCTTCTGGTCTACCTTTTTGGACTGCAATAATTGCTGATAATGTTTTAGAAGTTAATCTGTTTTATATTCTGTGTAGCTTACACCTGATAGAATTAGGCCTCGTTCACACCAGATGCAGTGCCTTTCTGGCCCGATTCTAGCCAGAACCCACTGCCTCGCATTGCGGCCGGCTCACTTTTTTTGTGGGGCAGGAGGGGGTGTGGCAGCATTTTGTTCGCACCGGACCGCAGGCATAATATGCCTTGCGATCCTGTGCGGTCAATCGCATTGCCGCCTGAGGGCGTGGCTACTGTACCATTCACTTCAATGGACCACCACGCCCCCTCCTTCCACACAAAAAAAGTGAGCCGGCCGCAATGCGAGGCAGTGCATTCTGGCCGGGAAACGCACTGCATCTGGTGTGAACGAGGCCTTAAGAAACCAGCACTGTGCTCTGTTTCTGGTAGTCTTTAGTTGGTACCTGGCTTTGTTTACTTTTTAGCTCAGACCGGAGAAGGGAGAAGCAGTACAATGAACCATTTAGTTGTGTTGCAGTACAAGGAGCATGCAGATAGGAGTAGAGAGTATAGTGACCGGAAGATGAGGTTATCAGTCTGCTGTTTCTTCTTTCTCTGTCCATTCACAGCCTGGGGGTGGAGGAGAGACCTCTAAGTGTAACTGAACTGCATCAGCAGAAAATCTGGTATTTTCCCTGCCAGACAAGGCTGTGTGGTATGGCGAAACTATGTAGATTTAAGAACTGTGTAAATTTAAGAGTGGACAGAAATACAAATTCTTTAGCAGGTAAAGCAACTGTTGGCTGTTTTCTTGAAGTTCGGCTTTAAGCGAGCAATTCACTAAGTAATTAGGTCCCCTGGACCACTTGTGTCTAGGGGCAGGCATCCTAATCTTAAATGTTTTGCCTTGCATGTATATGGTCAAAGCATTAGGGTGAAAATTCTGGACCCTTTGTCAACAGTACAGGTAATTTCAAGACTGCGTCTGCTCTTCTTTGCAGTTGTCGTACAACATTCCAGCCCTTCCAGTCTATAACAAGTTGGATAATGATGGGGCAGAGTAGTCATTTAACCAAATGGGGTCTAAAAATGATATAATATGACCAGGGCTTGAATTTTAGGGCGTCTCACCAGTCAATCAAAAATTTCACCAGTCATTCAGCATGACTGCAATTTTATGTGAACATTTTTTTGGAGACAGATAGAACTTTCTTTTGGTGGTATTTAATCACCACTGGCGGGGGATGGGGGGTTGTGTTGTCGGGTCATTTTTTACTATACAATGAAAAAAGTACCGTAAATACATTTAAAAAAAAAAGTTTCCCAACATATGAACAGGGCCAACTGATCAGAAGCCGATTAATCGATTATTGAAAAAGTTGACAACTTTTTCAATAATCGATTATAATCGATTATGTCGATTAGTTGTTGCAGCCCTAATTATGTTATAAAACATTTACCCATATTTTTGGTAAAATATAAAAGTCGGGGACACATCGGGTAAATAGACACCAAACATGTCAAGCCTTAAAATCGCAAAAAAACTACCACACTGAAAATTGGCCATAGGCGATGCTTAAAACACTTTTATTGCTCATCAGTTTAGTGTTATCAGTGATTAATGGCCCTAAAATTATTGCTCGCACTCCAACGTTCGCGGTGATATGTAACATGTGCGGCACAATAGGCGCAATCGTCGTTTTCGCACGTAGGCGCACCCAACGCATATCTGCGTGTGTATCTGCGCGGGCGACTTTGTGGTTTGATTGTTTTTTATGCTTCTTGAATTTTTGTATATATATATTTTTTTTTTTTTGCACAACTTTATTGCTATCACATAGGGGGCCAAGAATCCCCCTATGTGATAGCCAATCTACATGACAGACTACATGACAGTCTCTTTATGGAGACATCAGGGGTCTCCAAGACCCCTAATGTCACCTAGGCACCCCCAGAGAAGCTGATGAAGCAGAGATCTACTTCATCAGCTTCTGTAGCTGGAAAGTGACACTGAATGCAGGAAGTGATGTAATTTACATCACTTCCTGCATTCGGGGACTGAGAGGAGTTCAAAGGGAGCTCGTGTACCGATCTCCCTTTGACGAGAGGACGAGCGGATTTTTCAAGCCCTGAATATGACTGATAATTGGCCTATGCTGCTTCAGTCTATAAAAAGCTATATATGAGATTGATTTTTATGTATTTTTTTTAATTTTAGCTACCTGGACATATCCAATATGTGTTTTTCTACATGTGCTTTACTTTATTTTTTTACAGGTGGCTGCAGCAACAGGACACACCGTAGTATTAGTAGACCAGACTGAGGACATCTTGAAGAAGTCCACCAAAAGTATAGAGGACAGCTTGAAAAGGGTCAGCAAGAAGATGTTTGCAGACAAGCCTGAGGTGACATTCTGGTGCTACTGAACTACTTTTATGGCATGTAGAGCACAAAAGAAAGGTTTCTTTAGAGAAACCAAAGACGAATACTGCTTAGTGGATCTTGTCTCATTAAATCTGTTAATATCTGTGTTCATTGTACTTTCCCCCCCTGGCCTTCGTTTTGCAGGCTTCCTCTCAGTTCATTCAGAAAACATTATCAAACCTGAGCACAAGCACAGACCCTGCGGCCGTAGTGCACAGCACTGATCTCGTTGTGGAGGCCATTGTAGAGAACTTGGACGTGAAACATGAACTCTTCAAGAAACTGGATAAGTTTGCCCCAGAGTAAGTCACCACAAGTTTAACAAAGCATAGTACAAATACAGGTTTAAAAGCTTTGTAATACATAGTGCAGCATGATTATTCCCTTATCATTGTTCAAAGCACTGGAAAGTGGTACTCAAGCAAAATCATGCGAAATGCCATTCAGACAGCCAGTATAAAAGCATGGAGGCTGAATGGTGTACAGTACAATCTAGATATTTCCCAAAGAGCATATGTGACTTAAAACTCAGGCTAAAGCTCTTGCTGGGCTTGCAAAACATGAGCGCCAGGGTATTAGGATCTCATTATTTGTGGAGGACGCTTGTTTTGATTGGCCCATTGTTTTAATATCACTGTTATTTAAAAATTATGTATTTTTTTTTTTTTTTACACATAAATGGAGGAAAACCACAAGCATGCACAGGGAGCATGCAAATGTTTCCTGGGGATGCAGTTTGGGGGTGTTAGACAGAGGTGGAGAAGGTAAATCATTTATTCTACCTCGCCCAAATGCTCCCGATACTTACCCCGATACCGGAACTTCTGGTATCAGGAAGCCGGGCGGCGAGTCATTACACACCTCCCGGCTTTCTGATTGGCAGGGAAGCCAGCCAATTTCTGATTGGTGACAAGGGAGTATGGAGGCGGCCTCCCAGGCCAATCAGGAAGCTGGGCGGCTTGTAATGACTCGCCGCCCAGCTTCTTGATTGGTCGGGAAGCTGGCCAATCAGGAAGCCAGGCAGCGAGTCATTACCCACTCTTGGGCTTTTTGATTGGCCATAAAGCCAATTCCATGCTTCTTCCTCACCTGGTAACAAGGGAGCATGGAGACGGCTTCTGGCTAATCAGGAAGCCGGGCGCGTTTCATTACACCCTGCCAGGCTTCCCAGTTCATCGGAAAGCTGGGCAGCGAGTCATTACCGAAAAAAAAAAATATCTGCACATATCCCTACTTAATGATATAAGTATTTACATGACAGAACACCCCAGGTAGAGGTTCCTGAAAAGCTTAAAAATGCATCAACAGGTATGTGCACACGGGTGTTTTTTTAATATTGGCATTGCTAGGTTGCACTTTTTTTCTTTTTCTTTATTGTAATATTTTTGAGTAGAAAGGTTTGCTTTAGGAACTTTATATAAATGTAAATTCCTATACTGCTGTTTACTATGCAAATGCTATAGAATTTAGTATCAGTAAAGAAAGAACCAAATGGTACACAAAGTAAGCATTTCCAAGATGGAAGTATCTCTTGCATTGTGAGAGTATTTCTTAGATCAAAGTGTTTATAGTCAACATTCTACCCACTTTGGTATGGAAATAGATTTGTATGGGACTGAACAGTGCAAGCATGTTTTAGAAAATCTTGCATTGTTAACTAAATTAGAACTTCAGCTTTAAAAATAATTGCCCAGCATGTCATATTATAAAAAAAAAAAAACGCTTAATACTCAGGGCTGTTTGTGTTTTTGGTTAAGTGACGCCTACCATCATTTAGCTCGCTTCCTGTGAGCCTATGCTGTCGTGGGCCCGACCGACCAAAGTGGGCTCACTAGACAGTTCTGCAGCATTCAGGACCTGCCCACTGCTGGAGGAAGATGAAGAGGAGACGCGATATCCTTCTTTCCTGCCCCTCTTCTTTTTTTTTTTTTTTTTTTAAAGGGGGGGCGGGGGTTCGAAAGAGGGGAGGACAACATTGGAGAGCCAGTCTGTAAATGTGGCTTGTTTTAGTTGTCTGTCAAACACATTGAGGGGCATATATGAAAACGGGATAAGTTGTCCATAGAAACCAATTAGCTTCTCTCTTCAGTTTGTTCAGTTAAGCTTTGAAAATGAAAGGAAGAAGCTGATTGGTTGTCAGGAGCAACCGCTTCAGATTCTATCTGCTCCAGTTTTGATCAATTCCCCCCATAGAATATAAAGAGAGTTTTGCAGTTTGCTCAGAAAAGCTTATCATGAAACTATGACGTAGCATGCAAGTGAAATGGGAAAGTGACATCAAAATGACTTTCAGCTAAACTTTACTATAGCTTCTCATATGTGTGCTATCTAAAAACTAACAGTGGTTTCTCTTGAACATTTTCCCTGGACTCTTTGACAGACATACCATATTTGCCAGCAACACTTCTTCCTTGCCAATAACTGACATAGCCAATGCCACAAGTCGGCAGGACCGGTTTGGAGGCTTACATTTCTTCAATCCTGTCCCAATGATGAAGCTTGTAGAGGTAAGCTTTACTATGTAGACCATGACAGCTTCTGTGTGATATGTTGTGCAACGTTTTCTTAGGCACCATAAACATGTATGTTGTATGTTGTGTACTTGTATGCAGCCACAACAGTTTAGTCCACCTGCATATCTTAGAGCCTGCCAATGCTTACTTCATGCTTTTGGGGTTAGCATGAGTCTGCAAGAATCTCTGCACTATAAATAGGCAGGTGTTAGAGCTTTAAAAATAAGTGTTGGATATGACATATCATGAGAGTGGAGGTTTATTTTAAGATTACCACACTGGAGTGCCAAGTCACTATATTACAGTACTGGAAAGCTAGGTTGCTGTCAGAAATGGCATTGTAATACCCTCCTGCCTGTGTTCTAGAAACGGCAGCAATCGGTGAAAGTTCTTAAAAGAAGTGCGGGGAGAGTACAGGTGGTTTGGGACACTGAAGTTGCCCCACGTCTGCAAAAGCTGAGTGATCATGTGACCAGAGCTCACTGTCTCCTCCCTGCAGAGAACAGAGACCGTCAGTCACCACTCCCTGCAGGGTGGGCACAGCTGGCTCTGGCGCTAGAGAGGTGGAGCCAACTGTTGGGTACATCCCGGCAATATTGTCAGAACCCTTCTTGGCTGTGGCTCTGCTCTGTCAGCTGATAGCAGGCATTAGCCTGACTTTGGGTCACAGGAAGCAAAAGATGAGTAATGCAAAATACCAGTTAATGGATTTATATACTTATTAAAGAATCAATAAATGTATTTTGAATGCAACTATGGCACGTTCCTGAACTTGCCTTGGCACATCTCCTGTACAGCAGCACTTAGACTGGATGGGGCAGCACAAGGCAACAATCGGGGGTGCTGCAAGGCAGTGCACATGTGCTGCCAGGAGGAGAGAACATAGTGAGCAGAAGGATGAAATCATCTGTTTTCTGCTGCTCCTTTACTGCTAAAGTACTCTGTATCGTAAACCACTGTTTTTATTGTCATTTTGTTCTACAATACTCGATTTCACTTTTTAATCCATCTCAGCATTGCTTGTTTCTTGCAGCCTCTTTGAAGCCACTTCCTGTCTACACGCATGTACTTCAGTGATAGGTGCATTGCATTTTTAGGGGGGGCTTTCTTAATGGTGACAACAGTGGACCATGCCTTTTGTAGTGTGTGCTGAAATGGCCCCTTGTAATTTCCTTTGAAAGCCAAGTGATGTCGTGTTTCCCCGAAAATAAGACTTATACCTTTTCCCTCCAAAAAAAAAACACACTAGGTCTTATTTTGGGGGCATGTCTTATTTTAAAAAAATGTTTTTTAATGTCAGAAGTTCCCTCAGTGACTGAGGCTCCGTCACCTCATTTCACCTCACTCCGACCCCACTGGCCATGCCGCACTGTGCCGCTTCCTGCTGGGAAATTTAGTTTTCTGCCCGGCGGCAGCTTTCTAAGCAAAAGCCGAGGCAGACAGGTGTCTGCTGATTTCGGGACACGGGCGGCATGCAGGAGCTGCGGCGGTCAGTCCCCGCCATGTACTTTTGTTGCTCTCTGGGCCTCCCCCACCCTGCCAGCGGTGCAGACAGTGGACAGTGCGGTAAGTACATGCTACTGTACCACCGAACTAGGTCTTATTTTCGGGGTAGGTCTTATATTATAGGAATCTCTAAAGATAGTGCTAGGTCTTACTTTCGGGGTAGGTCTTATTTTCGGGGAAACATGGTAGTATGACAACACGTGAGCACCTTTGGGAGACCAGGACAGAGCCTTGTCACCCTATAACAGGAAGGGAATTAGCAAGGTCTTCATGGCAGGTATTATTTGAACGAAAGTTGTGTATTTTAAAATATTAAAACCAGTTTCTAGTTTCAATAAGTATTTCAATTGTGTATTTAGTTGTGTGACTGAAGTTTAGCTTTGATGATGGGATCCATGCATGGTTTAGTGGCCATCAGTAGAATTTGATAAGTTCTATAGCTAGGTACATAAAAAGGCTCCTTTTAGCAGCAGTTCTATTTTATTCAAGCAGAACCCCGGGCAAACCTTTTCTTAATTTCCTCTTAACCCTTGCAGTGAGGCTACCCCTGCACTGCAAGGGTTAAGTGCTTGTTAGTGTCTAGGTGCTAAAATAACCAAGTTATACTTATTTGATTCTTGGAGCCAGCTTGCTCTTAGACCGGTCCCTGGAGCTTCTCTCCCCTCCGCTTCAGAGGTCTAAAGGTGCCCATGCACCTTACGGTTTTCGTCCGATATTCGCAAGGTTGATGGGCAGTGTCCAATCGTACGACTTTTGACTTTCCAGCATGCTAGAAAACTTCTGTCGAAACGTACGAAATTCGCAAGGTTGGTGGTGTTTTCGTACATCAAAAATCGCACAATTAACACTGCTCATGCGCAAACGAAAATCCGTCTTGTCCAGGTGATTTTGCTAATGGCCTCTAATTGAACCGTGCAAAGGTGGGTGCATGATGAGGCCGCCGTACGAAAATCTCACACAATTTGTAAGAATTATCGTCCGATAATTGCAAGGTGTATGGGGACCTTAACTTCCATGCATCATCATGTTCTATACACTGTGTTTGGGATGTGAGGATGCTGAGAGACATACCATCGCTACACTAGAGGAGGAGAGAGGCTGAAGGGAACGCTGTAACAGCCAGCCATCACTAAGGCTCAGGTGAGCATATTTTTGCACCTAGACCAAAAGGAACACTTAACCTTTGCAGTGCAGGGGGTAGACTCATTGCAAGGGTTTAAAAAAAATGTTTGCCCAGAATTCTTTAAATATAGCTTCAGTGTTGTAGAATACTATATATGCAATTTTTTAAGCTGAATGAAGGAATCATTTGTTGTTTACAGGTCTTCTCTTTTCTTTAAGGTCATTAAGGCACCTATGACAAGCCAGACAACTTTTGACTCTCTTATCGATTTCAGCAGAGCACTTGGAAAGACGCCCGTGTCGTGTAAGGTAAGGAAGAGTAAGATTATGACTTGTACTGTAATCTGCTGTAGGCATTTACACTCTTGAAGCACCTGTCCTAAAAAAAACTAATGTTTGACTAGGCTGAGGCCCCAAGAACACAGGATAGATTACAAAAGTACATACTCCAATAGTGTCTATATAAAAACGAAGGAATGGATTGGAACACGAGATATGCACCTCAAACTTTTGCAAGGGACGTGATCAGCAGACTCGTTGCAATCCTATTGGTAGACACTGCAGTCACTCAACATTGGAATTTCTGGTAATTGAATGCATTAGGAGCTCCTGGCAGGTATAATAAATCTATGATTAGGCCAGTTATGTCTTCATTGAGGTCATTCAATATATTTATAAATGAAGATTAGTACACTTTCCAGAAATCCTCAGTCCCTATAAAACCTGACGTCAAAGGAACACATTTACGAGGCTCTGGGGTTTCCGTACTCCCTCAAATCTTCAAGATGCAGGAACATAAGTTCGCTGACACTGGCAAGGCACCTCCCAGGCCTCCCTTGTTGGGTAACCAAAAGTGACTCAAAGTTCAGAAATAAAGAGCGCCAAAGGTGAAAGAGTCCCGAAGTGCCTTTAATTGTTCACAATTCGATTAACAAAGAACATCCAACACATTTCGGGGGCAACATAACTCTCAGCTGCCAATTACGATTCCAGCCGTAAAGGAGATCTTTTCATTGAATCATATAGAGATTCATTTGGTTAGAGTATCTTTTGAGTCCAATCAAAGCCTTATCTTATGCCAAGCCCTGATGAAGGAGGAGCGTAATTGCCCATGAAACGCGTTAGATCTTCTTTTACTTTTTTATTTGGAGCCCTTTATTTCTGAACATTGTATAAAACCAGACCGTCGGGGAAGGGCCAACACTTTGAGGTATACAAACTATATTGTATTGCATAGTGTTGCTGTTCATATTCATAGAGGAGGACCTGAGTACAAAGAAAAGGTTCAAGGCCGCACTACTGCTGACGTCTTTTAATGGCAGCAAAAGGTTAATTTGCAGAACTTTAACTAATGCTGTGTATGTGTATTAATATCCTAATTAATATGCTATCCTATTAATATGGCAGGATGAATGTTTAAATTATGACTCTCGCCTTTTTGCCCATCCATGGCTTAACTGACAAGACATTAAGACTCGGCAGACTCTATAAAGTATGTGGGACGCATGTACCTTTTGTCTCCAGGATGGGAGAAGTCTATGGAGCTGTTGCCTGTTTTATTCCAAATTAAAATGTATCAAAGTATGCTCCTAAGTAAGTTGTTATTGTTGATTAATGCATGAAGTCATACTTCTTTCTCATTCAGGACACCCCTGGGTTTGTTGTTAATCGGCTCCTGGTGCCCTACTTGATGGAATCAGTCCGCCTTTATGAGCGAGGTACTTGTTGTTGTTGTTTTAAAATACTCTAATATTCTGACAGCTTTGTTCTTCTCAAATAGCTTCTCATTTACTGTTCTGCCCACTGTCATACCACCCACACACTTCTGCAAATACTGTCTCCTGTCATACTTCAGTAATCCTCTACCGCACATATTTTCCCCTCCAAAATACCCTCCATATACTTCTCCTGCACATAATTCTGTGTGATACCTTCTGCACTCCACTCTTGCACATACTTCCTCCCATCATACAATCATACAATCTGCAGTACATATTGCCAGCTATCATACCCTCCTGGATATGTAATTTGCTGGCATACCTTCTGCACTCCTTCATTACTGCTTACTGCCCTCTGTCATACCCACCGCATTCCTCTCCTATAGATAGTACCTGCTGTCCTACCTTTCACACTCGTTTTATGCATGTACTGCCTTATGAGACACTTTATTTTCTTAACCTTTCCTATTCTGTGCATGTGCGTGTGTGTGCGCGCGCACTTCACACACTTTCTTTTTTTAAGCTCTGCTGCCATCTAGCGTAGAGTTGGTGAACCGCAAAAAAACTTTCATTTTTTTTATACAGTTTTCCATGTTACTCTTACAATTTTCCTGCCTTATACTAAAAATTAAACTAAAACTATATTTGCACAGCTTATAGCACATTTAAAGACATGCACAAAATGAGATGGATAGGTTGACAGACGGCAAAAGTTCAGTAGTCACTTCAAACAGGAGTAAATGCTTAAAGTGTAGGTTACCAACGTGTAGTACTATAACTGTAGATTATACCAACGTTTTCATGGGTGGCAGCCCTCCTTTCTCAAGGTGAAAATCAATTTGAATGAGATTCATTTTGAAAATGGTAATGCCGTGGTTTTGAAACCTTTTGGTTGCATTAAACTTGGAGCACAGGTAAAGTAGAACTCCAAGCAATACATGCATACATATTTACTGTTTACCAGCCACGGAACTGGTAATTCTGTATGCCCATTATTGCGATTTATACACATCGCACAGCCAAGCAGGTGACATGCTTATCCCCTAGTTTAGCAAAGCCAATTCCCATATCGCCTCTACACCTTCGAAATGCTCACTGAACAATCTTCATCTACCTCTCTGTCCAGTGAACTGTAAAGTTGAACCAAGAAGTGGCAGAGAGACCTGCACTATTTGAATCCGGCTTGCCTTTTTTTTCCCAGTGTGCGAAAGTTGCTATTTAAAAGAACCTAAATATGTAGGTTGCCATTGCTGACCTTTGTTTCGGAAAATGCTATTGCCCTGACTGGCGTATTGAAGCATTAGCTTTTATACTTTTGGGTGACAGCCCTTGAAGAAGCATAAAGATCAGGAATTCTGACTCTGCCAACTTTTATATGCTTGTTATGGGTCTATCTGAACAAAAGAACTCAGGCAACTAGCATTTACTGAAGGAGTCCAGCAATAGCAGTCCTTATGTATGTCTCATATTTGGTGTACTTCCAACAGTTGTTTGATTGGTGTTTCATGTACATTTTGCTTGTGCTGTTTGGTCTGTCCCGAGCATGTTAAAAAATACATTATAGCCAAAATTAAATGAAGGTAAATGCATGGGAGCATTATGCTTACTGGAGAACAAATTGCAAATGCATTCTCAATACAGCTGTTGACAATGCTTTACTGTTCCTAAATAAATGCAAGATCAGTTGTAGTGTGTTTTTATATGATCTGTTGGTAGCCTCTCCAATCTGTTTTTATAGGACATGCATCTAAAGAAGACGTCGACATTGCAATGAAATTAGGAGCCGGGTATCCAATGGGTCCTTTTGAACTCTTGGATTATGTTGGTCTTGACACTAGTAAATTCATCATTGACGGTATGTAAATAAAATCATTTGCCGTAAACTTTATTTACAGAGATAGGTGTTACAGTGGTAAGCTATGAGAGTGCAAAACCTTACTGCTTCTGTAAACATTGGGACACTTGATCTGAAGCTGTGACAGCGCCACACTGAAGCATAGGTATTAAGGCATTTGGTGTTACCCAAAGAAGCTGCTTCAGTTCACGAGAGCACCATAGTATCTGCAATACACCTAACAAATAAGATTTTGCACAGTGTGACACTAGTAGCCTGCATCTTTAATGTCTACCTTCTTAATTAAATCACAACTCCATTTTGCTGTTTAGGTCTGGAGAGAAAAAATTGTCGGAGTTCAGAGATGTTGCCATTTCTTCATTTGGGGGCCTGAATTCATAAATTTCCTGCAAAAGTAGCAGTGTACATCATCATTGTGCAGAGAGCGGAGGTGGGATACAAGACCAGTCACCCTGCACAAGTAGTTAAGAGTAGTAGTAACTGGTCACTTCTCTTAATTGCTATCACATAGAGGGCTAACATGCAATAGCACATTAGTGGTGACAGGTTCCCCATAAGGAGATATTAGGGATCTATTAGTCCCTTGATGTTACCGTTGCAGTCCAATGAAGCTGATCAAGCACAGCCGGCAGGGAATGGCGGCTTTAAACCCAGAAGTGACAAAGTCATCATTGCTTCCAGGTTCATACCACAGAACGGATGTTCACTGGTCTCCCCACCAGTCAGCTTTATACATATAAACAGACTGCCACCCCCTTACAGGGCCCCATTGCCGTCGTATGGTGGGGCTTAACTTTAAAGGGTAACTATACGGATAGTACAGTTATCCTTTAACCTTAGGTAACCTCATAAAAATGTTTTTTACCTATAATTACGTAGTGTCTTATGTATATGAAATGGTAAACCTTCCAGTTAAATTGAGTTTATTTCAGAGATCTAATGCTACAAAATGAAGAACAATCTAAAGGGGTGAATATTGCAGGGTGGCCATTGTGTAACAGGATTATTCATTTTTCTTCCTAATTGTTTGTACAGATTCCACTTGGCTAGAGTAGTTGTTGTTTGCCCATTCCTAAGCTTATTGTTGCAAAATGTTAAAACCCCTTCGTGCGTCACCGCAGTCATCACATATGACTTGAGATGTATTTGTCTTTATATTTGTAATCCATTGTTCCATCTAACATTTTCCACTTGTTTTATAGGTTGGCACGAGTTGGAACCCGATAACCCTCTCTTTGCTCCTAGTGAGTTGCTCAATAAACTGGTGGCTGAGAAGAAGCTGGGAAAGAAGACTGGAGAAGGATTTTATAAATACAGATAACTGGCTCATCACTTTGCAGACATCCTTTTGATAAGCCTTTCCGCTTGCCTCATGGTAAATGGGACAGTTGCTTCTTGCTGACTGACCATTTATGCCATAGTAGTTTTTTCTACGCTCTCCATGTCCACACACTAGTGCCTTAGAGTAAAGATTGTTTCTGTTCATGATTGAAACTTTTTTTTGTACGGACGCTTATCAAGTACTGAAATGTCATAACCCAGCTAGAATCAATAAAAAGCAAATTGCAATGATTTCTGTGTGAGATCTATTTCTGTTGTTGGAAAGCGCCTCTACCCATTAGAGCAGATGTAGACAAACTCCGACCCTCCACTACAAATCCCATAATGCATTTGCTTCTGTGAGTCAGGTCTGTGGCTGTCAATCTTGCAATGCCTAATGGGATATGTAGTTGCACCAAAGCTGGAGGGCCAGAGTTTGCCTACCCCGGCATTAAAGCAATAAATTATTTTAAAGCCACACTCCGGGCATAATGACAATTTACACACGGCATTGAGTGTGTAAATTATCATTTAAAAAGCTGTTTTTCCTGTGCAGAGGGCCACTGCAAAGTGGAAAAATTCTTACCTTGTAACGCATCCCCCCTCAATGCCCAGCTTCCAGACACTGAAGAGAGGGACAGATACAGCCCGAGCTGTACAGCACTGCAGTTACATCACCTGCCCCTTTTCACTATCCTCCATTCACCAAATGTCTTATATTATTTTTAAAGTATACAATACATTCTGTGATTGGAGAAGGAGAGATGTCACATCTCCGCCCCTCCTCACTATCCTCCTATTACAGAATGTCTTGAGTAACTGCAAAGCATTGGAATGGGCCCTTAGAGGCTTTTCATACAACCATAGAACTAACATACTTGTTTCATTCAGATAATGTCCAAGGTGCGAATTGAATGCAGGTCTTCATGATGCAAAGTCATAGTACTAGCTGCTAAGCCAACTTTCTTAGGGTGCACACACAGGTAGATGTGTCATGATGGGTAGTAAGACATCAGCTCGCCCTTAGAAGGCTTACATTCTTTCGCAATATTTGTTGGGTTTAAGTGGTGCGCGCCTAGTAAAAGTTCCTTTTCCTGTTCAGCATAGGAATTGGGACAGGCAAGTCCTGAATGTTGCAGAGAAAAGTGCTCACAGAATAACGTGTCAGTTTTTCGACAGCATTCTCCAATAAGGCCATGGTGGCTTAATTGTGCACCCCCTAGGGGGTTTGTCTTTGACGGCCTGGGCTTACAGGAAGTGGGCTGATTGATGAATCTTCATGTTAGAAATAAAGATGTAATACTGGGGGCTTCCATGACACTGTGGTCAACTTCTAAAAGGACAGCCCAGCAGCAGCTGCACCCTTTGGTCTGTCTCCATCAACTCCATACAGACCCATGAGACAGGCAAGTGGGGTAGTTGGTGGTAGAAATGATTAGAACAAACACAACTTAATGAGTCAGAATGCAGCAGTAAACATGCAGTCAACAGACCAATTACAGTAAACTCCCCGTTATCCGGCATCCATGGGGATTGGTAGATTCCGGATAAATGTATTTTTTGTTTTTTTGAGAGTTACTATTAAAAATAGGTCTAATAACGAATGCCATACCCCACACTATACCATAACATAAACTCTGTATTGACTTCATAGTAATATTGAAGTGCAGTAATCAAAAGCAAATTAAGACAAATAGGCACACAATCGTTTCCAGGATAATACATGCCGCAGATCAGCAGAACATGAGTACACAGGATTTGTTTTCTTTCTGGTTAGTTAAATTCCGGAGAAACCAGAGTTTAGTGTGTGTATATATATAGTTTATTCATCGCCAAAAATATTGGCACCCCTGCATTTCTGTCAGATAATGCACCACTTCACGCAGAAAATTGTTGCAATTACAAATGTTTAGGTATTCTCATGTTTCTTTCCTTTGTTTGTATTGGCATGACACAAAAAAGTGGAGGGAAAAAAAGCCAAACCTGACACATTCCACACACAACTCCAAAAATGGACTGGACAAAATTATTGGCACCCTCAATTAATATTTGGTAGCACAGCCTCGGGGAAAAAAACAACGCAGATCAATGGCTTCCTGTAACCATCAATGAGTTTCTTACACCTCTCTACAGGAATTTTGGACTTCTTTCACCAACTTCTCCAGGTCTCTCAGATTGGAAGGGTTCCTTTTCCCAACTGCTGTTTTGGAATCTCTTCACAGGTGCTCTATGGGATTCAGATCTGGACTCATTGCTGGCCAGTCCAGTACTCTCCAGCGCTTTGTCTGAAACCATTTCTGTGTGCTTATTGATTTGTGCTTTGGGTCATTGTCCTGCTGTAAGACCCATGACCTCTGATGGAGACACACATTTCTGACACTGGGCCCTACATTGCACCCCAGAATTCTTTGGTAGAACATCAGTAAACCTCCACCATGTTTGACTGTAGGGACTGTATTTTTTTTTTAAAGGCCTCATTTCTCTTTCTGAAAACAGTGGAATGATGGGCTTTACCAAAAAGCTGTCTTTTTGTTTCGTTTGTCCACAGCCCATTCTCTCAAAAGGATTTTGGCTTCCTCAGCTAAGTTTTGGCTGTATTATGTTTCTGTGTCAGCAGTGGGGTCCTCCTGGGTCTCCTACCATAGCGTTCCTTTTCATTCAGATGGCGACATATAGTGCGAGCTGACACAGTTGTACCCTGTGCCTGAAGGTCAGCTTAAATTTGTCTGGAAGTTGATGGAGGGTCTTTATTCACCATTTGAACAATGCTTTGTTGCAATCTTTGATCATTTGTTCTCTTTCATCCACTTCCAGGGAGATTAGCTACAGTGCCATGGGCTGTAAACTTCTTGACAATGTTGCGCACAGTGGGCACAGGAACATTAAGATCTCTGGAGATGGACTTGTAACCCTGACATTGTCCATGCTTTTCCACAAAAACTTGGAATACAATTATTTCTTGCAATTTGGAGAAGGTGCCAATCATTTTGTCAAGTCCATTTTGGGAGTTTTGCGTGGAATGTGTCAGATTTGGCTTTTTTTGTCCCTCCACTTTTTTGTCATATCAATACAAACAAAATAAATTAAAACATGATAACGTCTAAACAGTTGTAAGGGCAACAATTTTTTGCGTGAAGTGGTGCATTATCTGACAGAAATGCAGGGATACCAATATTGACTGTATACTGTATATTTATTTATGTGTGCATTTAGCTTTTCACCCTTGGAGTTTCAGGAGATTAGTTTGTAAAACCTCAGGGGCAGGGCCCTCCTTACCATCTTGTCTTGATTTGTATTGTGATTGTAATGTCTTCCTTATATTGTAAAGCGCTGTGCAAACTGTTGGTGCTATATAAATCCTGTATAATAATAATAATTATACTGTAGACAGTAACGGTCTAGTTCTGTAGTAGCAGGCTTTTACTCTACATGTCATCTAATGGATAGCCACTAGGAGGCACACAATACCATCTTCCAAGATAAAGTTGATTTTTTGATGTTTTTATGCTTCTGGTTATCAGCTGTGTGACACAGTTTTGATGTCCCCTTTATGGTAAAGTGTCATATCAAAGTTGTGGAGCTATTAATGTAAAATGTTCTGCTTATTACACCGCTCAATAGATTGTGTAGAAAGGCAGTCAATATGGATCTGCTAATTAGATTTGTCAGCATAGATTTGAGCAGAGCTGAGAGTACAAACTCCAGAGCTTGTCTATTCCTCCAGCTGTGTAGCAGACGTTTGAAACCTTATAGGCCCGTGGTTTGGGTAAACTGGAGTATAGGGAATTCTGCAGCCTTCATTCACCTATAGGGTCTGTTTGATGTATTAATCACGTATTGATGTGCCGCAGATTACAAGTATCGTTTTAACGCCTCTTTCATCAAATCTTATCTAAACCTCATGAGGGGGAATGTCTGCTGTTAATACCATAAGGGTGCCAATTATTGTCTTTTAAAGAGATTTGGAGATCTATAATATTCAGATGTAGTACATGAAGGAGAAAGCCAGCTTTGTTGTAAAAAAAAATAAAAAATGTAAACTACATATATTATTGCTGCGCACGCTATTTTGCAAATTAATATAATATTAAAGTGTAAATTTTCATTTCAGTGCGCAACCAATCATGATTTTTTAAATCTGCCAACATATAACAATGTTTTTCTTACCCTGGTAACAATATTGTACATGCAAATGCTACACTTACACAATGAGTGTTTCTGCACAGAAAGTTAAATTGTAGGAATCCCGTTTTATCCTGATTGAAATGCTTTCACAGATACTTGCGTGCATAAAATAATGCTGGAGCAGCAGCTTTGCAATGCTTACAGGGTTATTCACGAAAGGGTGAAGAGTTTGGAGAAGGCAGGAGAAGTGAACAATCTAGGACAAAACAGCTGATTTGGAAAAATTCTCCAGTTCAGCTCAATTTCCATTTCAGCTATGTTGTCCTAGATTGTTCACTTCTAACTTTTCACCCTTTAGGGCTCATTCACACGGGAATCAGCCGACACGTACAGCTCCGTGCATGGCCATATCGGGCAGCTCCCGGGAAGGACAGGTGCTGCGTGTGATTAGTACGCAGCCCCTGTCCGTCTCTATGGGACTACGCGGCCGCACGCCGCCCTACACTCACCCGCCCTGCATGTCCATGCGGGTGCAGGTGAGCGTACTTGTACGCTGACAGGATGGATCCTGTCTACGACCGAGCTAAGAAACACACACCCGCACGGACCTGCACTTGAGGTGAGTGTAGGGGGGCGTAAGGCCGCGTAGTCCCATAGAGAAGGACAGTTAAGTTTTTTTTATCAATTAACAAAATGTAAAGTAAATGAACAGAAGAGAAATCCAAATGAAATCAATATTTGGTGTGACCACCCTTTGCCTTCAAAACAGCATGAATTCTTCTAGGTACACTTGCACAGTTTTTAACAGGAACTCGGCAGGTAGGTTGTTCCAAACATCTTGGAGAACTAACCACAGATCTTATTACGTACCTGAGGGAGAGACCTGTAAGATGAGGAGGCTTCTCTTGCAACTCGTGTCCTATAACCCCTGGAGTTGGAACAAAAGGCTGCAGGACAGCGAGAAGCACGATTGCCACTGATGGAAGCATACACCGTGCAGGAGACATCTTGTAATGAAGTCAGCAGGCCTAAGGTAAAACCGGGCAGGCAGCTTAGGAACGGATTCGGGAGACAGGAATCATGGTCAAGGAAGCCAAGGGTCGGAGCCAGCC